GCAAAACAATAAATATAAAGGGAGGAATATTTTTATTAGTTAATTTTTGGCAGCCGACAGAAAAGGAATATGCACAGAAGGGGATATTGTTACTAAATGGCTTATGCAGCCGGCCGTAAAGGGTTAAAAGCAACATTTAACTTACCTTCCAAATTTGTTTGATATTACAGCGGCTATGTTTGTACTAATAAGAAAGCTAATACTAATCGGCAAAAATATGATACCTAAAATTCACGGGGGAATACATTGAGGTTTTGAATCGTTTTGTCAGTGAGGCAAACTTTTTCTGGGACAGTTTTACACACTGAATGGAATTTAAAGATTAATTAGATAGTAAGTCTCATCAGATGTGCTGTGCCACTGTTAAAATGCATCGGATGGCCGAAAAAAGTTACGAGTGTACACAACTTGGCCTCTTCACCCATCGAGATGCATCAAAATTTTTATTCGATAAAAAGAACTTTGGTCTGTAGAAAATCGGGTCATAAGGTGCCTATGGGCTGAGGTAATTATCAGATTCGGATTCAGCGTGAAACACTGCCCCAGAAAGCGTTTGTCTCACTGACAAAACGGTTAAAAAACCTAAATGTATTCCGTCGTGATGACAAATAAAGTTTTGGATTTTTCTAAGAGGATCTCACCCTGAGTTTTCGGTGGCAGAGTAGAAAACAGTGAATAATACATTATGTATGCTATGGTTACGGTTGATTGTAAGCGTAAATAACCGGTCGAACGGTTAACCGTCATCGTAAATAACCACTGTAAAACAGCTTAGTGTGTACACTAGAAGTAGCCAAGATGATTTTTGCCCTGATATTTTACTACTTCTGCTATAGTGATACGCATGCACTTCAAACCTGTTTGGTACTCAAATTTGTTGGATGAAATGTTGAGATTCATGCTGAAAAGGTCAAAGATTTTGTTTAAAACAGTCAAATCACTCTGACAAACAGTAGTTGATGAGATATTCGTCGATGTCGCCACTTAACAGCCGTTTTTGTGCAGCATAGTGTAGACTGTCACTATCCCAAACGTTTATCCCAAAACGTTTTTCGTTAATTACGTCACAGGTTTTTTCACTCTCTCCCCGTTGCTTTCTCGGCCTCTGTTAGATGTACATCATATCTGTTTAACTTCTATCCTGTTGGCAGTTCTTCGAGTGCTTTGATGTAGGCTGCTTGTGCTTTTCTTACACTTTCCTGTGCTCCACTGTAATGCTTTTGAACGATATCAGAAATTTGTTTCTGTTGCTGTTGTGCTATACGTGAGACGTTTAATTCAATCTCAGCTGCTTGTAACTTCTGCATATTCACACTTTGTGTCAGAACTGTCATTTCAATCACTTCACCGAGCAGTTGCATTACACTCACAAATTGATCATGAGTGTTCGATGCCAGTTTTGAACATTCTCTTCCAATTTGATCGATGTCGTTTAATGATTGTATTAGCATTCTTTCGAGAAGTCGTGGTGAGGCTGAAACAAGTATTTTTAAAGAGGTTTTGATGTGGCGTGGAATTTGTGTCATAAATAGTTGAATTGTATTCATTGAACTGTGCGCCTGTGAGAAAGCTTCCCAACCGTCATTGGCAATTTGAATCAAGGTTGTACGATAGGATTGTGGATGACGAATGTATTTAAATGTGTAATTATCAGCACTTTCTTTCAAAGAGAAGTCAACTTTTGTTGAGACGACGATCAATTCTCCGAGAATGTTTATTGCAAGTGGACCAGCTGAAATGAACTGTTGCCAAGGATAATCGATCCCTGTTTGACTCAGAAGCTGTTCATCTGTTTCTTGTTTGAACAGGTTGTCAATGGCTGTCTGATTTTCTAAAATCGAAGAGAGTTTTTTTGTTTTGCTTTACCTATTTCTCGACGCCGTCGTCCTGCTGATCTTCGTTCGAGAGACGTATCATAAAATGGATTGACTGAAGAATCTGGAGATAGAAAAACACTTTTCGATAGTAAATAAGATGGCTTTTGCGATATTTCTCTAATAATTGTTTGTGAGGTGAGAAATGAGGGTAGAATAATCAGAAAAACCAGAGAACAAGAACCCATCGTGAATTTTAACAATCTAAAAGAAATACAAGAACAGCTTGATAAGTGGCAATCTTTGTAAGATTCAATAAAGAAACATAGAAAATCGCTTTTGGTTAAACATCTGCTAGTTTATCCAAACTTCGCTTCACTTGAAAGAGTGTTGTTACTTCTGATTTCAAAGAATATCCATCAGTCTATTGTTCTGTGTCACTTCATCATAAATAGCATCAAAAGGCGAAATCTGCAATTCATAATTAATTAAATTTTTGATTGTAGTGCAAATAACACCAGTTATAACGTTTCTAAGAGACGTTCTCTGGAAAAGTTACAGTGGTTCGGTCAACATAGAACAGAGTCCGAACAATGTGCTATCGTAAAAAGTCGATTTTCATCGAACGTTCTGTACCGATGTCCTCTAGGCATCCCAGATTGCAGTCAGATGATTTGTAACATGTTTTACTTCATAATTAATTGTTGCTGTTGAATTAGTTTCCTCTTTCAATGTTACGAGTGCTGCTTGTAATTCTTGCAATTATGTTTGAAACAGAAATAGTTGTATATCTAAACTTGATTTTTTGTCCTTGTAGAGAAGATAGCAGTTGACGATAACTATCAACTGGCTGTTGCGCACTTGTAACTTGGTTTTGTGCATCTTTGACACTATCAATTCCACCAGAATTTAGTACACTACATAATGGTTTTGTAATGATAGTACTAACTGGTTCTGTAAGCGGACTGAGTATATCTTATATCGGCCTAACAACTTCCTGAAAGGGGCGGTAGATTGATTCAACAAAAGAACTAAATAATCGCTTTCGTCGAGGACGAAGATTACATATTCTTGCATCTTCAAGTTTTTCTTGTGCAACTAGGAGAGCATTCTCTGCATTGACCAAATTCTGTTATTTGGGAACAAGTTAGATTTGAGATCTATTGATTGATAGCTATCCTATTCTGGGTATTGATGTCAGCCAAAAGTTAATTCAAAATATTTCATTGAAGGATTCCCGTACGCATTTTTGTATGCTGAAATAACCGTTTCATTCATGTTCGTTTCATACCAAATCTGTGTAACCTCATTCATGCCATTAATCAGTGTCGTTAGACAACAGAGCAGGAGAACATGGCCAAACTGCACCCGCCGCGGACTCATCCGTCCGCACTATGTACGCCAGTATAGTTTTTAGTTTCTAGAATTCAGTATTCAGTATTAAACTTTTAGTTTTTAGTATTCAGTATTCAGTATATAACTACTACCATTACCCTCACAAAACAGGCAGGAATGTTGTAGGCCGTTAATTATTCACTTCAATAGGGTCGCCAGGGTTAAAAATCAATGTAATACTGCCAAGTTTCCGACCTTTATGAAACTGTTCCGGTTCTAGAGATTGGTTACATAAATATGTTATGATCGTAGTTGTGACAGGCGCAGGTTCAACTAATCTCGCTCACAGACCAGGTGCACTAGTTCTACTAAAATCAATTTTGCACAGTAATTCAAAAACTTCACTCTCAAAAATATGAAACTTCGTCATCGAGAGTTTGCTAGATGTTGCAATAACTAACGGCACATCGTTAACCTCGTTAAGTGGTAACGAGCAAAACATCGCGAAATGTTTGTTTAAAAGTTCAGCCTCTTTTTCTGATCAATCATTAGTTCTGTCACTAATTAACGCATATCTCGGTCAAAAAGGCATATCAACTCAAATCCTTTGAAGATTCTTCTCGACGAAAAGTCAGAGTGAAACATCATCAATTACGGCAGAAACTGCATTCAAAAAAGATCGCTCTGATCTCCGTAGATCTGCAGTTATGAAATACCTAGATGTTCAGATATTCTGACAAAATATCAGGGAGGAATTCACTCTCATCACCCAGACAACAGAGCAACAGTAATATTGCCATAATCGATTTCATTATGGTCGATCAGTTGACAAATTCGATTCCAGTAAAGTGGTAGTGTGAATGTGCTTAAACTATGTATATTTATAGTTCTCAAATTTACTGTATGTTTTTGTTAAGCATCATTACCATATGCGATATTTTTCTTTCAATGGTTTTTCCCCTTATACTGGTTTTTCCCCATATTTAGCTCCACTAACCAAGTAAATAATCTCTAGGTACACACTAATGATAAAAAACTCTACTATAGCTTATCCTTATTCGAAACATCCATTCCTTCTATATTAT